GATAAGCACGATGTAGCTCGCACACAGTGGAATGTCACTTAGCCGGTAAAGGGAATGAAATTCTGATGTGTGCTGCAAAGAGGACAAACCTTGAAACATTATGCCAGGTTAAAGAAGTCATGTTGCATGATTATTTTTATATGAAATATCCAGAATAGATACATACAGAGAGCAGATTTGTGGTTGTGGAAGTCTCAGAGAAGGTGGGATGCTTCAGGGGTGATGAAAATTCTTTGGAACTTTTTTTTTTTAAGATTTATTTATTTATGCACACAAGAACTGGGGTACAGGCCAGAAGTGTGGGGGGGCAAGAGGATTCATCAGAGACAGAGTGGGGAACAGAACAGGTGGAATGACCAAAATACACTGCTAAGGGAAGCAGTGGGTGAGCCAGGAGAGGTCTGCTGCGCCATGTGGGTTTCTCCCTGGCCGGGGATCGAACTCATGCTGCAGTGGCTGCGGACAGCTTCATAGGTTGCGTCTTAACCCCTTGCGCCACCTGGGAGGCCTGGAACTTGATAAAGTATAATTGCACAACACTGAATGTACTTACATCACTGACCACTTTAAAATAGCTCATCTGGCCTCCCTGGTGGCTCGGGGTTAAGCACCGCACTGTAAAGCAATCTGCAGCTACTGCAGTACAAGTTCGATCCCTGGCCAGCCAGGGAGAAAACACATGGCGAAGTAGACCTCTCCTTTCTCACCTGCTGCTCCCCTCAGCAATGTATTTCAGTCAGTCTGCCTGTTCTGTTCCCCACTCTGGTGAATCCTCTCACCCCTCACATCTCTGGCCTGTACCCCAGCTCTTATATGCATAAAGTAATCTTTATTTATTTATAAATAAACAAACAAACAAATAAATAAAATGGCTCATCATATGTTACATGAATTCACTTCAAATTAAATACAATAACAGTTGGGCCTCCCCTGGTGGTGCAGCGGTTGAGCGCTGGGTTGCAAGGCTGCCCGCAGCCTCTGCAGCGCCAGTTCAATCCCCGGCCACCGGCGAGGGTCCCACAAAAGAAAAAACAACAATAACAGTAAAGCCCCTTGATCCCTTAGATTGGCAAAAATCCTCACGCAGCCAAAACTGAAGAGCCTGCAGGTTTCTACTCTTCTTTTTTGGCCCCAGTGGATTTCCCTTACTTTCCTGTGAGTTCAGCCAAGCACTGAAAGGGTGTTATACTTTCAAAAAATATTTTACATTTCTTTTAACATTCCTAGTAGTGTATGCTTAAAAATAACCACCACTGATGGAAAGGAAAACTTTATTTTTAGAATCAAAATTTAATAACCCAGAAGAGAGCTATCCAGCAGGGAAAGGGTCCTCATCAGCTGCTTTCTCTGCAATCCAGCACACACACGTATGATGCCTTGTGGGGTCTTCAGGATTTATCTTCAGTGAGAAAAAGCAGTCACATTAAGATAAGCACATTAGAGGAACAAGGCATCCGTGTGCATGGGCATGTGATCCTGACAGATATCTGTGTGCAAGGAAGGCAACAACTTTTTTTTTTTTAAGATTTTTTTATGGGCCTCCCCGGTGGCGCAGCGGTTGAGCGCTGGGTTGCGAGGCTGCCCGCGGCCTCTGCAGCGCCGGTTCGATCCCCGGCTGCTCCCCGGCCACCGGAGGAGGGTCCCACATGGCGTGCAGACCTCTCATGCCGCCCGCTGCTCCCCTCAGCAGTGTCCTTCGGTCCTTCTGCCTGCTCTGCTCCCTACTCTGGCTCTGGTGAGTTCTCTCACCCTCCCGCGCTTCTGACTGTACCCAGTGCATGTATAAACAAAACAAACAAACAAATAAATAAATAAAACATGCCTCTATAAAAAAAAAAAAAGATTTTTTTTTTTATTTATTTATACAAGAACCGGGGTACAGGCCAGATGCGCGGGAGGGTGAGAGGATTCACCAGAGACAGAGCAGGGAACAGAACAGGCAGACTGACGAAATACACTGCTGAGGGGAGCAGCGGGCGAGACAGGAGAGGTCTGCCCCGCCATGTGGGACCCTCGCGGGCCGGCCAGGATCGAACCGGCGCTGTAGAGACTGCAGATAGCTTCACAGCGTGGCGCTCAACCACCTGTGCCACCAGGGGAGGCCCGAAGTCAAAAACTTTTAAGAGACAAAAATCTTTATCTGTGACTTCCATGGTGACTCCAGGGTGTGCTCTAGGCTTTCAGCGGGCGGGACTTCTGCCCACTGGCTGTGCTTTGACACAGCTAGTCTCTTAGACATGCCGACCTAGTTTTCCTTTTTGCCCAAATTTTGCTGATTTTCTTCCACTCTGGGTATGTTTAGCTTATCATCTAGGCTGCCGTCCTGCTGGAACTGGAAGTCCCCATATCACTCTTAAATTTTTAACTGAACTTAGGTTTTCTAACAAAGCCTAGAATAAATCTGTTTGTGTGTGTTTACATAGGGTGAAACTTTGAAACTGGTAAGCTTTTCCTCTCCAGTCAACTCCCCCCACCTGGTGCCTGTTTGCTGCTGCTGGCTTTCAGGATTATGGCAGAAAGATGGCCTGTGCTTCAGGGAACGTGTCACAGGACTGGCTTTCGGGGCTCAGAGTTCCCTGTTCTGACTGAGTTCCTGTTGGCCTTAGGCAAGTCCAGGTTCCCATATTCACAGTTACTGCCTAGGACTGGCACTGGCCACAGTTGCCATGGTAACCATCTTGTCAACCAGAAAGTCCTAGAGCTCCCTTTTGATTCCCAATGTTTGTCCCCACCATTGGTAGTAACCCTGTTCTACAAATCCCCATGGATTTATTAATGCCTTCAAACAACATAGATTTACGGTCTGTGGGTCTGTAGGTCAGGAGTGCAATGCAGTCTAGAGTATCAGCAGGGCTGAGCTCTCTTACCCCCTCCTCTACTTTTGAGGACCCTTGTGATTACATCAGGCCCACTCAGATTTCAAGTAGCCTGCCATGTGATGTTACATGTTCACAGATATGTGGACATCTGGGGCCGGTAGGGTGCGTTGTTCTGCCTATCACACCTGTCTTCTGTGAATTTGGTCTGTGGTTTCTTCTTTCTAAACAGCCTTACTCTATTAGTTTGTCCTATTAGTTTCTGGTCAACCAGTAAAATTTTGTTTTTCTACACAACACCTTTTTGTGAAAGTGTCATTATTCATGATTGGAATGAGGAAGAGGTGTTTTTCAATTTACTATCTTGACTCAGTGTTTCAGTACTAATGAATTTTGAGATGTATTATTTAATTTTATTGATTTGAATTTTTGTATGCCAGCACTTGATGAGGTAGTAGACCATTGAGCTCTTCAGAATGTTCTCTTTAAATTGGTATATGATGTACTTCACTTTAAGATTTCAGAGTAGATAGGGCAGGGCCTTCTTAGTTAGGAACTTTCAGATGTCTCTCAGAAGAAGGCAGGGATAAGGTATGGAGGTGGCCCAGTTGTTTCAAAAAAGATTCCAGGGAGGACTTTTCTGCTGGAGATGCCCAGTCTGCAGCCCTGCATGGGCACGCAGTACCATGCCATGGGAAATGAATGCCACGGCCTTAATAACCGTAATGAACTTTCTCCAGCCTTTCAGCCCCCCATTTTTCTTGGAAATTGTAAGGTGAGCAAAGATGCTGGAGGCGTAGACTTGTGAACTGTAAACCTATATAGATCCTGTGTTTCTTGAGACAGTAATTTTCTGGTCATTATTAGAAACCATTTATGTTGGAGTCATCAGAAAAGCATAAAAACTAGTGTGGATTTAATAAACATTTAATTGAGAATCTGATATGCAGAGATAGAACAGTCTTACAATCTGGTGGAAGACTTAGAGGCACTATAGAGTAAGTGCTGTAGGAACAACCCATTGCAACCTGACAAGTGGGGGATAATGACATTTAATATGAATTTTGAAAAAAACTAATAGTACAATACTGTGTTCTTCCTTGTCAAGTAGGCTGACATATTTAAACATGGCGATTTTTGTCCTTATCTTTACAGTTGATCTAGTTTTTGGTTATTACCATGATTAAACTATTACATGTAGCCATTATGAGATCAATAGCCTAAAACTTGATCTTATGCCTGAAAATATACAATAGTGGACCTGTTTCCAGGTTGACACTCATGAACCCAACTAGAGATCTCATGCATTTAATTTCATCCCTAAACATGCTTGTGGTTTTTATCTGTCATAAGTTTTATGAATGGAAAGACTGGTTGTTGGCTTCCTTAATTCCCCTGAGATTTTTTTGTCATTATGTTACCTTGTGTGAATTATTTATAGAATTTTTAGCAGATTGTCTGTGTTTTATTTAAAATACAAGCAAACAAAACCATTTTAAAGAACAAATGATTCTTAACACCTTTTTTCTTTTTTTACTTTATGATGACTATATTAATTAAGCACAGAAAATAGAAGACAGAAAATAGTTACTAGATATTTTGGTTTCTGGGGATATCAGAGTAAGCATGGGAGTCGCAATTGATCAATGAAAAAAAAAAAAAAAAAAAACCACCTACCCACTATCTTTGATGTGTGTCTTAGTTTACAAACCCCTAAATTCATCATTTTCAGAGAACTGTATTTTCTCTTCCAATATCAGAGATCAAGATTTCTTCTAAAAAATGAAATGCTTTTGTAGAAAGGTTTGAATGATCATAATAGGTTAAGATAGATATATTTCTTCACTGAAAATATGATTTGCTCCATTGTTAAGTAATGAAATGTCACTCATAAAAAGTTACAGCTCATTGTTTATGATACTGTACTGGCTAAAGACTTTTTTTCAAACTTTTCAGGGAAGTGTGACAGCAATGACGGTGTTTTTCCCCTTGGATACAGCTCGACTTCGACTGCAAGGTGAGTATCTTTTGTACTCATCATGTTCCTGTCCACTTGGTGTCAGGATGCAAACGTATTTATCTACTAAGTTCTAAATTAACTTACGCATGTTATGTTTCGTTAGCGACCCACTGCTCTTTAGATACTGGTATCATCTCCGTTTTCTTATTAACAGGAAGGCATTCATGAATGTCACAGCCTCAGTCACTTCCTAATCTGAGAGAAGCTGAGTGGGCCTGCATTAATTTTTTGAAATCTTACAATTCTTTCTAATAAACCGCATGACTTTTTAAAGGCACCATGTGTGTTTTTGTTAGTGGTACATTTAAAAAAAAGAAGAAGAAGAAACACAGTGGCACCAGTTACCCACCATCACCGCTCATCTAGGCATGTAGTCCCTGCTTGCCTCTGGCTTTTTAAGACTGTGCAGCTCTCTTTTAACTCCTGCATGTTTTCCTCTCAGTGTTTTTCAACTTGAAATTACAAGCTTATGCCAGAACTTACATGAAATGTAAGTTTGTAATTGTAATGTAATGTAAGTTTGTAATGTAAGTTTGAAATGTAAGATTAGCTTAGAACAAGCAAATTCTTGCATTAGAAACCTTTGTGACTACTATTTTTAATTATGTTTAGAACTTTTGGATAGGTCATAATTTCATGTGGTTTAAAAACTAAGCTACATGAGAAGGTGTCTAGTATCGTGGAGAGCTTGCTCTGGCTGCCCTTTCCTCTCCCTGGCAGATATTGTCTTTATTAGTCTCTCAGATAGCCTTGCAGAGTTTCTTTATAGGCTAACAAGCAAACAAGGGTACATATTCTTTTCTCTCTTTCTCTCTCTCTCTCTCTCTCTTTCTCTTTCTTTCTTTCTCTCTCTTTCTCGCTCTCTCTTTCTTTTTAAGATTTATTTATTTATGCATACAAGAGCTGGGGCACAGGCCAGAGATCCGGGGAGTAAGAGGATTCACCATAGACAGAGTGGGGAACAGAACAGGCAGACTGACTGAAATACACTGCTGAGGGGAGCAGCGGGCGAGGCAGGAGAGGTCTGTTGCGCCATTTGGGTTGCTCCCTGGCCAGCCGGGGATTGAACTTGTGCTGCAGAGGCTGCGGACCGCTTCATGGTGCGGTGCCCAACCCCTTGCGCCTCCAGGGAGGCCCAATTTTCTCCCTTATACAATAAAAACATATTTTACACACTGTTTTGTACCTTATATTTTTTACTTAACAGTGTAGTTTTTACTTAACAGTGTAGTTTCAAACTACACTGTATGAAACTCAATACATTGGAGTTTCTTCATCCTTTCTTCTGTCTGTAGTTCATTCCATGGTATGACTGCATCATGACTGATTACCTGTCCCCTATTGTAGAGTTTTGGGTTTTTCCTCTTACAGAACAAATTTATTCATATGCCGCTTAATTTCTGCAAGTTCGTGAGATTGCTGTATCAGACGGTAAATGCATTTGTAATTGTAGTTATTGCAAGGTTGCCTTCTGCAGCTTTCCTAATATGCCATCCCACAAGCCATAGCAGTGCCACTTTTTTTTTTTTTTTTAAAGATTTATTTATTTATTTATTTATACAAGCATTGGGCACAGTCAGAAGCGTGGGAGGGTGAGAGACTTCACCAGAGCCAGAGCGGGGAGCAGAGCAGGCAGAAGGACCGAAGTACACTGCTGAGGGGAGCAGCAGGCGGCAGGAGAGGTCTGCGCGCCATGTGGGACCCTCCTCCGGAGGCCGGGGAGCAGCCGGGGATCGAACCAGCGCTGCAGAGGCTGTGGGCAGCTTCGCAACCCAGTGCTCAACTGCTGCGCCACTGGGGAGGCCCAGCAGTGCCACTTTTAAGTCTTAGGAAATTGGTTCTTTTTTTAATGTTTTCAAAATATTCTTCCAATGTAGGTAGGAAATGTGATCGAGGTAAATTTTGTTGACAGGGTTGACAGACTTGTCATCCTTTTTGAGACCTTTTATTTATTAAATTATTATTATTAAAACCTTTAGGTTTTAATATTTACTCTGCTGTTCATTATATGCAGCCTTCATAGTTTTTGTGTCTGCAGCCTCTTCTCTAAAAAGGAGATGGAAATGTATCTCTTCTCTCTTTTATAAGATGTTAAGGTAAAAATGAGAATATATATTTCACTTGAAAAAAAAAATGAGCCTTATGAAATATAAGAAATAACTTTCTCTTGTCACATCTTTTACTTTGGAAATTAACTGTTGAATGAAAATGCTTTTTGGTTCATGAGTGGCAGACAAAATGCATGGAATCTACACTTGGGAATTTAGCACATAATCACACGGGGCATCACTGAGCTCTGAGGTGGACTAGGGAGGTCAAAGTATAGGGTAGGAGGTTGCTCAGGGGAGGTAAACGGCATTTCAGTGAAACTTGCTGGTGCTGAAGATAATTATTCTCAGAGGATGTAGTTTAAATGTTTGCTCTTTGATCTTGTAGTTGATGAGAAAAGAAAGTCCAAAACGACCCACATGGTGCTTCTGGAGATCATTAAAGAAGAAGGCCTGTGAGTACTACCCGCTCATCTTCATGAGTCAGAGCCGCCTACAGGAGGCTCGGGGCCTCTGTGCACTCACTATCTAGCTGTCCTCATAGCTGTAGCGTGTCTTGAGTGTGTAATTGTCTGAGTTGTAAGTACATAATTGTTTTCATGTCCTTAAAGTTCTGTAGTTGGCTATTGTGATGCTTCATTGTATAGTCTTCCATGAAACCAGAGCTTTGTTTTATGTGTGGTAAGCCACAGGAGGTCATCGTTCACTTCATTCACACACATTATGTGCTGCTTTTTTTCACTTTTTTTTTTTTTTTTTAAGATTTATTTATTTATTTATCTAAGCACTGGGTACAGTCAGAAGTGCAGGAGGGTGAGAGAATTCACCAGAGCCAGAGCGGGGAGCAGAACAGGCAGAAGGACCGAAGTACACTGCTGAGGGGAGCAGCGGGCAGCAGGAGAGGTCTGTCACTCCATGTGGGACCCTCGCTGGCAGCCAGGGATCGAACTGGCGCTGCAGAGGCTGCGGGCAGCTTCGCAGTCCAGCACTCAACCGCTGTGCCACCAGGGGAGGCCCTTTTTTCACTTTTTATTTGGAACTTACTTCAAATATACAAAATGTTGCAGAACTAAAAATACTACAAAGAATACTAGTATATGCTTTACCCAGACTCCCCTATTATTAGCATTATTCTTTTCCTGTTATTTTTTTACCGTTTGTGCGCCTGCTTTCCTCCTTTCCCCTTCTCTCTTTTTCACACACCCACCCTACCCAGAGTTTTTTCCGGAACAGTTTGAGAATAAGATACAATAGGTCAAAGCCCCTATGATCCTGATGCTTTAAAAGAATATAGTCCTCTTCTACCTTTTTGGAAAATAGAATGTTTCTGATTTTTTAAAAAAAGATTTATTTATTTATGCACACAAGAACTGGGGTACAGGCTGGAGGTGTGGGAAGGTGAGAGGATTCACCAGAGACAGAGTGGGGAGCAGAACAGGCAGATTGACTGAAAATCACTGCTGAGGGGAGCAGCGGGCGAGCCAGGGGAGGTCTGCCTTGCCATGTGGGTTGCTCCCTGGCCGGCCGGGGATTGCACTCATGCTGCAGAGGCCTACAGATAACTTCATAGTGCTGTGCTTAACCCTTTGTGCCACCAGGGAGGCCCCTAGAATGTTTCTGATTTTAAGTCTGCTTCAATTTGAGTGTAATTTTACACAGTCCATGGGAGGTACTTTATTTAGTTATCAGTAAAGATTCAAAAGTTCTTATTTTTTTCAGTGGCTTATAATGACTGTTATATTTTGTTATTTTGGTGCTCAGATTGTCCAGGTGTGACTAGTGGGAACCCCTGCAGGTCTAGTTCCTGTGCCATTATAACATGTCCCCATAATGTTTTTGTACTTATTTTCTGTATTTATTTCCTTTTAAATGTTCTTGCCCTATAATAAAATGTGAGTGATGCTCTATTAACTAACAGCCATGGAGAAATTATTTCTGATTTTACATAAGGACATTACTAAAGGCAATCAGAGGGGGGAAATCAGCAAATTGGGGCCTCTGTGATGGCACAAAGGGTTAAGCACTGCACTATGAAGCTGTCCGCAGCCTCTGCACCACCCCAAGTTCGTTCCCCGGCCGGTCAGGGAGCAACCCACATGGCGCGGCAGACCTCTCCTGTCTCCCCGCTGCTCCCCTCAGCAGTGTGTTTTGGTCAGTCTGCCTGTTCAGTTCCCCACTCTGTCTCTGGTGAATCTTCTCACCCCCTGCTTCTCTGGCCTGTACCCCAGCTCTTTTATGCATAAATAAACAAATCTTTAAAAAAAAATCAGCAAATTCGTTGTTGAATGTATATTGTTTCTCTATGCTAAGAAGGATTTCTTGGTTTGAGCGTCTTTCAGAATGTAAGGGGTTTGTACACTTTGGAGTGCATTGTAATGTGGAGTGAACTTTGAGAATACGTGAATGATTCAGCCTTTCCTAGAACTTTCTCTGTCCATTTTTATTGGCTTTTGTCCATCATCTTTATTTTGCTTATTGTGTTTTTTCCACCTAGCCTGGCACCATATCGAGGATGGTTTCCAGTTATCTCCAGTCTCTGCTGCTCCAATTTTGTCTATTTCTACACTTTTAATAGCCTCAAAGCCGTCTGGGTCAAAGGCCAACGTTCTACTACTGGAAAAGATCTGGTAGTTGGATTTGTTGCAGGTAACAATTTTCTTGATTGAAAATACTTTTATGTTTTAGCATCTTAAGGCTCACATATCCTCTAGATTATTTTAGCATAATGTAATGCTACAAAGCATGTAGTTCACACTGACTTTGCTTGTGTGTTATAAGACATATAACATAAAATTTACTACCTCAACTATCTTTAAGTTGCACTTCAAGAATGTAAGTTCACATTGTTGTGGAACAGAGCTCCAGAATATTTTCAACTTGCAAGTCTCAGACTCTACCCATTAATAGCAGTGCCCTTTCCACCTCCCCCTGCCCTTGACAACAGCCGCTCTACTTTCTGTTTCATGAATTTGACTCGTTTATATGCCTCCTATAAGTGGAATCATACAGTGTCTATCTTTTAGTGACTGGCTTATTTCACTCATTGTAATGTCTTCGAGGTTTATCCATGTTGTAACATGTGAAAGGAATTTTCTCCTTTCTAAGGCTGAATATTCTGGTGTGTCTGTCTGTCTGTCTGTCTCTCTGTAGTACATTTTGTTTATCCTTTAATTTACCAGTGGACATTTAGGTTGTATCCACCACTTGGTTATTATGAACAGTGGCTGCTAAGTACATCTCTTTAGAGTCCTGTGTTCAGTTCTTTTGGATATATACCCAGAAGTGAGATTGCTAGATCATAACATAGTTTTTTAATTTATTTTGTGAAGAACCACCATACTGTTTTCTGCCATTTTACCATCCTACCAACAGTGCATGAGGTTCCAATTTTTCTGTGTCATCACCTGTACTTTTGTTTTTTTCAATAGTAGCCATTCTAATCTGTGTAGGATGATATTTCACCATGGTTTTTGTTTTTTGGTTTTTGGTTTTGTTTTTTTTTTTTTTTTTAAAGATTTATTTATTTATTTATTTATACAAGCACTGGGTACAGGCAGAAGCGCGGGAGAGTGAGAGAACTCACCAGAGCCAGAGTGGGGAGCAGAGCAGGCAGAAGGACCAAAGTACACTGCTGAGGGGAGCAGCGGGCGGCCAGAGAGGTCTGCGCGCCATGTGGGACCCTCCTCCGGTGGCCGGGGAGCAGCTGGGGATCAAACCGGCGCTGCAGAAGCTGTGGGCAGCTTCGCAACCCAGCGCTCAACCGCTGTGCCACCAGGGAGGCCCTGTTTCACCATGGTTTTGATTTGTGTTGCTCTGGTGATGAGTGATGTTGGACATCTTTCCACGTGCTTGTTGGACATTTGTTTGTCATCTGTGAGAATGTTCAAATCCTTTGCCCATGTTTTAATTGTGCTACGTGATTTTTTTTTTTTTGTTGAGTTGTAGATAGTCTTTGTATAGTCTAGATATGAGCCCCTTATCCAGATACAGTGACTTGCTTTTTACTCTCTTGGTCATGTCCTTTGATACTTTAAAATTAGTCTTATCTATTTTTGTTTCTTTGAGATACTTTGGTATTGTGTTCGAGAAGTCATTGCTAACTTTATATTTTTCGGTCTTACGTTTAGAACTTTAATCCATATGGAGTTCATTTTTATATGTGATGTGAAGTAAGAGTCCATCTCCACAATTTCACATGTATCCAGTTGTTTGAGACTGTGCTTTGCCCACTCAGTGCTCTTGGCACCCTGTGGAAGATGAGTTATCATATACAGGGCGTTTTATTTCTGGGCTGACTTGGCTTATCTTTATCTTTTTAATACAGAGAAAATCAATTATTCCTATGGAGTAACCTGTACCTAGGACTCATGGAACCTAAGATCTCTTTTTTTAAAAACACACTACATTACCTCCCCTGTTTACGTTTATGATTTTTTTTGGACTGAGGCTCACATGATATATTTAACATGAACAAGACTGGCTACATAATATATAGGACTCAGTGTAAAATGAAAATACAGGAGTCCTTGTTTATAATTAAAAGTATTCCAGATCATATCACTAAAGCATTAAACCAAGCCTAAGACAAGTTGTATGCGAATGAAACCAGCACTGAGTATGAAAGGATTTAGTCTCTGTGTGGTATCCAGAATATAGCCACTTGTCTCCACTGTTGCTTGATGTCCTTCTTCCTCCTTTGCTCCTTTCAAACTATATTGAGCACAACTGCCAATGTGATCATGTTAAAACTTACATGAGATCACGTTAGTGCTCTGTTTAGAGCCCTCCATTTGCTTCCCCGTCTCACTCAGTAAAAGCCAAAGCCCTTGCTTTCTCCTACAAAGCCCTCTGTGACCTGGCTCTCTGTTCTTTTCTTCACTTATACCTCTGCACCCGTGTCCACACTGGGCCTCTCCTTCCTGAGCATTCTTGGCATACTTCTGCCTCAGGGCCAGTGTACCTGCTATTGCCTCTGCTTGCTAACTGTATGAGTCACCCCCTCGCCTCCTTCAGATCTTTCCCTAAATGGCCATACTGTCTAAAATAGAGTTCCTCTCTATCCCCAATACCCTGTCCCCCTTCTCTGTCTATCCCCCTTCTCTGGTTAAATTTTCTCCTTAACCCTATCCTTTAACTTGCTACATATTTTACTCACTTATCTTGTCTTAAACTATTAGAATGAAGACTTCATGAGGACAGGGATTTTCAATTCTTATTTTCTACTTTATTTCCAGCATCTAGAATAGGACTTAGCACATACCAGATACACAGAGTGTATTAGGTGAGCACTCACAGCTGAATGACTTGTGGGAGAGGGACTGGCCCTGTGCACATCTCAGCCTAAAATACATAAAGCATTTCAGAAATGCTGGTTCATACCTCATCCAAAAAGCTACCACTAATCTCATGTATGTTTCCAGTTAACACTAAGAAGGTAGATTTAATATCAGTAAAAATAAAATTTCTAACAGCTCTTGAAACAAATAAGACATTGGGAAGGAGAGTGAATTCCCATCTTTTCAGACTTTCAAAAACATAATCAGTGGTTCTCAATTGAGACTGATTTTGACCCACAGAAATATGGCAATGTGGGCCTCCCCTGGTGGCGCAGGGGTTGAGTGCTGGGCTGCGAAGCTGCCCACAGCCTCTGCAGTGCTAGTTCAATCCCCGGCTACTAGCGAGGGTCCCACATGGCACACAGACCTCTCCTGCCGCGCCTGCTGCTCCCCTCAGCAGTGTATTTCGTCAATCTGGCTGTTCTGTTCCCCGCTCTGGCTCTGGTGAATTCTCTCACCCTCCTGCGCTTCTCACTGTACCCAGTGCTTGTATAAATAAATAAATAAATCTTTAAAAAAAGAAGAAAGAAAAAAAAGGAAATATGGCACTGTTTGGAGATATTGCCAATGTTTGGAGTTTTGATTGTCACAATTGGAGCAGGGTTGGGAGGGCATGGGGTATATGGATTTGGGGGGGCGGTGGTACAGGCATCTAGTGGGTAGAGGCCAGGGATACTACTATACATCCTACACAATAGAACCCTGCTACCCCAACAAGGAATTCTCAAGCCCAGTTGAAAGGCCCTTGGCAAATTAATCATAGGTTGTCTGTTTGTAAGTCTTCTTTTCTTCTGGGGTAGGAAATTCTTTGGAAATTACTTTCGTGAATTTTAAACTTCTGATAATATGTTTTAAATCTTAATACCTACACATTCATATAATAATTAGAACAGTCTTTTCCTGCTGTGAGCTCTGTCATTGTATTATAATCATTGTAGAAATGAATGTCATAATCTCCAAGGATAACTAAGAACCATTATTATTTTTCAAATTCTGGTTGAAACTTAAAAATTTATTATTCCTTATTTTCACAGGGGAAAAAAAAAGACATATAGTTTAATACCCTGGGGAAGAATTTGGGAAAAGAACTTTACAGATAACTTGAATGACAAAGATATTTGCCACTTTTATGAACTTGGGATTTTTGCCAATAACTCCTTTTGAATGCCACTGGTGTTATTGTTAAAATTCAAAATGATTTTCCTGCCCTCTGGCCTTAACTCTGGTCAGGCAGGTTTGTTTCCCTTGTGTATCAAGTTTCATTCCCTCATAGAGAGGAGGGGTGATTAGATTAGTGAGCTTGATTGCCATTTTCTATCATCAGTGGTCACTGCAAATATTTCCAAGTGCATACCCAATTGGATACTTCATCTTTGTTTTCTCTCCTAACAAAGAAGATTCACTGAGGTAAAATTGTTTCAGAGATTTCAGAAGTAAATAACTGTTACAACTATTACTTTCATCAGTCAGTAATTTTAGTGAGTGTCCTCAGTATAACTTACTGTTCCTTCTCTCAATTATGCTTCTATCTTCTTGTAAGTGATTCTTTGTAGAGGAAAGTAAAGACAGAAAACAATCATTTGAAGTGGAAGAGAAAAAAAAATCTCCAGTCCTTAAATAGGTGAACATTGGTGTTCATGTTTTAGAGCTGAAGTAATAGCCACAGTTGGAACTGGGCAGAAGGATTTTCTCCATAGGCTCATAAAAAAGACTCATAGGAAAGAACAGTGTATCTTATCCTTCAGCTGTATCTATCAGGCACTTATACACTTGTTTTTCCTCTGTGGAATATTGGCCTTTGCTTGATTGTGTAGGTTGCAAGTTTCAGTGAAGTTTTGTAGCCTTAAGTATTTTGAATGTCTTTTCCCACAACGTATAAAATGATAGTGGTTTAAAAATATGTCTCCATCTACTTTAGAAGATAAAGTACTTGAACTTCTTAGATAAAAAGCTTTGAAATAGGGCCTCCCTGGTGGTGCAGCGGTTGAGCGCTGGGCCAGCTCGATCCCCAGCCACAGGAGAGGGTCCCACATGGTGCGACAGACCTCTCCTGCCACGTACGCTGCTCCCCTCAGCAGTGTTTCGTCAGTCTGCCTGTTCTGTTCCCCACTCTGGCTCTGGTGAATTCTCTCACCCTCCCGCGCTTCTGACTATACCCAGTGCTTGTATAAATAAATAAATAAAACTTTAAAAAAAAAAAAAAGCTTTGAAATGCAAAATGTTTTACAGGAACTGTATATTCTTTTCTGTAAGTGCTGTAGTGCATTTTTGTACTAGAGATTGTTCTTAGAATCCTTAGTCATTCAGTTCATGTTAATACTGGGGGCATGAAAGCAGAATTTTAAATAATAGTTAAATCCTAATCTTGGCTACATTGCCTCTGAAGTGTTTTATGTGTGGCTACCTCTTGAACATGAAGGGAATTTTGATTTCTAGTGATTTTTTTTAATGGACAGCCTATTTTATTTGTTTAGAAAGGTATGTACACCTTGCCTGTCAGTATCCAGGAAGCTTGTCATCTTTGGTCCTGAACTCCCCTGTTTCTTCTTCATGTTAGACAGTTCAGTAGCACTCTCCGGTCTGGTTTTTCTGGCTGTTGAGTTTTCTGTCTGGGGATGTGTGTTATGCTGAGTAGGAGTGCTCTCTAAGGCCTGGCAAAAGAGCATGCATTGATACTCTTTTCTCTTGGTCTCTTTGGTGCTTTTTAAAAATGAGACCAGCAAGGATATCTATGTAAGATTTTTTCAGGTTCTGATCTCGTGTCAATATGAATATATTAAATTGTAACCCAAAATGACTCCTTGGTGTTACATGAATCTATGAAAATGTAATAAATACAACTTGCACGATAATTTGAGAATATTATTTTGAGAAATATGTTTTCACATAATGCTCCCTAAAGAGAGGTAGCAAGGGCCTCCCCGGTGGCGCAGCGGTTGAGCGCTGGGTTGCAAAGCTGCCTGCAGCCTCTGCAGCACCGGTTTGATCCCCGGCTGCTCCCCGGCCACCGGAGGAGGGTCCCGCATGGCGCGCAGACCTCTCCTGCTGCCCGCTACTCCCCTCAGCAGTGTACTTCGGTCCTTCTGCCTGCTCTGCTCCCCGCTCTGGCTCTGGTGAATTCTCTCACCCTCCCGCACTTCTGACTGTACCCAGTGCATGTATAAATAAATAAATAAATCTTTAAAAAAAGAGAGAGAGGTAGCAAGATCTCTTCCTCTCGCAACTGTGTGAAACAAATGGAAAAGCAGACTCTGGATCACTTGACTGTCTCACCAAGTTTGTGCTTGGTCACTCTGTTTTCGGTGGTCTATTTTGAGGTCTCATATCAAAACTTTCTTTCTCCTTTTGTGTCTAAACTACTTTTATTCAAAGATTTCCCTTCCCTGGGGTTGTGCCTTTTGGGTCTTCAGCATGGCCAGAGCCAGGTAGCTCTGAAGCTGTTTGCGGAGTTGGTTCATGGGTTCATTTGTTAAATTTTTACAAGCAAATATAAAGTAAGTGTTACAATGTGTCAGGCATTTTGTTACAACTCTCTGGTATATTTTGTTTTTGTGTTTTTAATCATTTCAGGACTGATGAGGAATATTTTAATATCTCAAGATGGTATTAACTTGAGATCATGTGTTTTCAAAAAAGAAGCCCTTCACTCATTGCATTGTTCCACTCTGAGGCAACCTGGGGGGGCCGAGAGCCCCAACCTTAAGCTTGTAAGGATCATGATGCTTGTGAAGCTGCTTCAGGTGTTCTGTGCTTGCTGCCTGCCTGTCCTGACTCCCTAGGTGATGAGGAGCTCTTCCCGAGTCCCTAGTACCCACTGAAGCACTTCCAGATATCACCACTGTCTCCCTCCTGTCACTAGCACGATACGCATTTAAAACCACGTGAGCTGTTATGTGATCCGTGTAAACTGCCTTTTTGGATCTTATCATGGAATTAAGCATGTGATCAAATAAGAAACTTCACCTCACTTAAAGCCCTATTTTAAAATGTTTAAAACTTGTATATCAAAATTATTACTTTGGATGCCTATCAGTTGACAAATAGATTGTCTTCTGTTATACAAGAGGAAATTCATTACTCTTTTCTGTAGAGCCGCACTGCTGTAAGCAGTTTTACCATCAGCAAGGCTTCTGAATTGCTTGTCATTGTGGTGGCTTGTGTCGCACAGAGATTTCTTATGTGGGGCTCCTGGTAGGTCAATGGCAGAGGTGTAAATGAAACACCTGTGTGTGGTCCAACATAAGGCAACAAAGCTTAAAAGGTTACATTTTGCTATCCCTTTGCCTCTCTTTTTTTTGAAGGGGTGGTGAATGTGTTGCTAACAACTCCGCTCTGGGTGGTAAACACCAGACTGAAGCTGCAGGGGGCAAAATTTAGGAATGAAGACATTGTACCAACCAACTACAAAGGTATCATTGGTAAGTGTCTCTTGGCTGAGTTCCTGTTTAAAACTTCCCCTTCTCCCCTCCTCCCGCCTCTCATTACAAATAAATACAAATAAAGCTGAATAACAGGTAACCACAAATCTCAATGTCCAGCAGTAAGCATGTTTAGTACATGTGTCTGTGGATTGATGGGGCTTTTTTTTAAAAGATTTATTTATTTATGCATACAAGAACTGGAGTACAGGCCAGAGGTGGGGGGGGGGTGAGAGGATGCACCAGAGACAGAGTGGGGAGCAGAACAGGCAGATTGACCAAAGTACACTGCTGAGGGGAGCAGCAGGAGAGTCAGGAGAGGTCTACTGTGCCATGTGTGTCACCTGCCTGGCCGGGAATTGAACTCGTGCTGCAGTGACTGCAGATAGCTTCATAGTGCTGCGTTTTAGCCCCTGCACCACCAGGGAGGCCCATTAATGGGAATTTGACTCAGCGCAGCTGTGGTCACTGTGCTGGGGCAGAGACTCCACAAGTCTCGTCCTTTTCCTGGGACCAGGCTGAGCATATTCTTGGTGTGAAGGCAGAAACAAATAAGACACATATGCCCAGTGATGCAAACCTACTCAAGCCCCTTTGGCATCTTGTCTCCTAACATTCATCTGCCTAAGGCACAGCCAATGACCAATCCCAAAGATGATAGAGAAAGTAGGGTAAACTGTGTGGGAGGGGTGAATATTTCTAAGGGATCATCTATACTTTTCTTTCTAGTGTTACCTCTGGGTAAAGATACTAGATGAATGTCTGATACCCTCAAGCTTCTGCTTTTTAATAGTATCACATTGCAGGTTCTCCTTTCATGTATTTCCATCTTTGCAATGAGAACAGTGGTTTTCTTATAGGCAGCCCTATAAAGTGGACTCTAGGGAAACCCTCTTACCTTTTGTTGTACTGGACTGATTTGTGAAACATTGCGACTATCAGTTCACACTTTTCCATAATAACAGAGTTTCCAGGGGTGATTATTACTTACAAAAACTTGACATTTTAGCCCCAGATTGCCAAGAAAAGTTGCCAGTGATTGAAATTGGTCTCTTCTGCTCGCTTAGGCAGCACCATGTGCTAAAATTGGAAGGAGACAGAAGATTAGCTTGGTCACTGCACAGGGATGATATGCCAGGTGGTGAAGCATTCCATGTTTGTAAAAATGAAATTGGTCTCTTGATAACTCGGTGACTCTATTGTCACCTTTCTATCAAAAAATAATTAACTGAGGGCCTCCCTGGTGGCGCAAGGGGTTAAGCCTTGCACTGTGAAGCAATCTACAGCCTCTGTAGCACAAGTTCGATCCCCGGCCGGCCAGCCTGCCAGAGAGAAACCCACATGGCGAGCAGACCTCTCCTCTCTTGCCCGCTGCTCCCCTCAGCAGTGTATTTCAGTCAGTCTGCCTGTTCTGTTCCCCACTCTGTTTCTGGTGAATCCTCTCACCCCCTGCATCTCTGGCCTGTACCCCAGCTCTTGTATGCATAAATAAATAAATCTTTTAAAAAATATATTAAAAAAATAATTAACTGATGAACTACCTCCTAAAATTTGATTTGTGAGAAGGAAAGCATGATAGAATCATTATGGTTTGTATTTTGCATACACATGAAGAGAATTCACACTGTCTTCTCTGGTTCGGAAATTGTCATCAAATGTCCTTGATGTCTTGCTCAGATGCTTTCCACCAGATCATTCGAGATGAAGGAATCTTGGCTTTATGGAATGGCACATTTCCCTCCTTGCTATTGGTCTTCAATCCAGCTATTCAATTCATGTTCTATGAAGGTTTAAAACGGCAGATTTTAAAGAAACGAATGAAGGTAATCCCTGATTTTAAAAGCAGCAAATAATAATCTCTGATAGCTCGTTGTTGTTTGGATTGATGTGGTTTGTTTTTTCTTTGGTTTCCAGCTTTCTTCTTTGGATGTGTTCATCATTGGTGCAATAGCCAAAGCAATCGCCACCACAGCCACCTACCCCATGCAGACTGTGCAGTCAATTCTGAGAGTGAGTGCTGGGGTTCTCCCTGCATGTAGTCCTGCAAAATACTAAAACATGCGGTTTCTCTGTTTAAAGCAATGTTCATTAAGCAAGAAAGTGTTCACTTGGCATGTTGGAGCGTTCCCTCCGTTTTTCCACTCGTTTGCTAATTTGCTAACTAGGTTGGCGATCACTTGGTTTCCTATTTGGTTTGCAGTTTCTTCCATGGTGTCTCAGAAAACCCATGTGTGGATTAGGGCTCTTTAAGGAATATGATTCCTTTAGTTCATTCAGGAGAGATTAAGGATTTTACTTTTCTGAAGTACTTTCAGATTCCTATTTGTTGGGTTTTTTAAATTCATTTGGTTATTTATTCATTGACATAATAATTAAGCCTCACTCTGTGAGTTGGGTACACTTGGTGAATAAAACAGTTATAGTCTCTGTCCTCATGGAGGTAACAGAGGAGAGAATGAACAGGCAAATAAGCAAAATAAATAGGTAATTATGGGCCTCCCTGGTGGCGCAAGGGGTTAAGCACCGCACTATGAAGCAATCCTCTCACCCCCCACATCTCTGGCCTGTACCCCAACTCTTGTATAAATAAATAAATAAATAAATAGGTAATTACACATCAAGAGCTATAGAGTGATTGGCATTCTGTGACTCCGTGGAGAGGGGAGAGGTATTTTGGGGATGGGCTCCTGTGAGGAGGTGCAGGTAAATCAAGACTTAGAGGATGATAAGGACCCAGCTGTGTGAAGAGTGGAGGAAAGGTTGTTCCACGTGGGGAAGCATGATGTGCCGAGAGCTTGGTGAGTCCTCTGACCTAAAAGGTGGCTGGGCTAAGATTGGCTCAGGAAGAGACTGGAAAAGTAGCAGGGAGGCCATAGGTGAGGACCAGATTTTCTTCTCACCACAGTGGGAAGCCACTGAAGGGCTTTAAACTGAGGAGGAATGTGATAAGATTTACAATTTCAGAAGATTGCTGTGACTGTTGTGTGGCCAGGTTTGTTCAGAAGGTTAGGCGCAAACTTGGGAGGGCGCTGTCAGGTAAGATGCCTTTTCATTAATACAGGTGAAAGGTGCTGGCAGCCTCCACCTATTTTCACATATTTCATTGCATTATCTCATTGAAAAAGAGAATTAATGGGACCTGTGTACTGATTGTGTAACAGGGTCAGGCTGTCTATCGCTGCCAGAAGCCAGTTGAACAGGAACTGAATCTATAGCCCATACTTTGTTGTCAGAAAGCCAGAATGGGATATTTTACCCCAAAACCCCTTCTAACATCTCATCGCAAGCTTACCTTTTTCCAGTGTGTGAAACTGAGTGTTAATCACAAGCAGCCCTCCCACCACAACAACCTGTTGTACTTGGTGGCTGGTCTTCGTCATTCCCAGAGTTGTTGTCTCCTGGGTCATCTTGACCCAGGTATATCCTTTCTTCCTGGGCTTGGGATAACATCCTGTTTTTCTGGTGGCATCAGTGTCTGACACCTCTTTAGGCATCACTGGGGCCGGACTCAGTTCAAAACAAGAGTTTTAGTTCAAAGAAAACATAGTAGTAACCACACGGTGTTTGCATGTAGCCTGTGCTGTGTGTCCGTGTGGATTCCTATACTAGGTGTGGTGCCTTCCCTTTGTCCCAGCCCCTGTCAGAGGGACACTTTTGTTACCACATGTTGTAAGACACTGTCCCAGCATGGTCTCCTCTACCAGTGGGAATTAAGATAAAGCAGCAATAAACAGTCATCTTTTTCTTCTTTCCCAGTTTGGACGTCACAGACTAAACCCAGAAAACAGAACACTGGGGAGTCTTCGGAATGTTCTTTATCTTCTTCACCAAAGAGTAAGGTGAGCTTTGTAGATGTGCCTTGTTTTGTCCTTTCAACACCCATCTCTGCTAGGATGTGATTGGATTTACTTATCTCCACTGCTGCCTCGGTGGTGGCAGCCCTCCTGTGCAAAGCTGTGCTCAGACACTACTTATTTTAGGGGCTTAGTGTAAAATGACAGTATTTTGGGAAATTATGCTACTGTACTGGACAGTGCAGTATGCCACGTCAGACTTCTCCAAACTTCTGGTTAGGAATCACCTGAAAAACTTGTTGTAATACAGATTCTTGCCTGCCCTCTTGGGTGGAACCTGGCTGTCTTCATTTCTCAGCACACCTTCAGACTCTGCTGTGAGTGGGTGTATGGAGAGCCTGACTGCTCCTGGGCATCTCTCCTGTGCTGCACCCACATGCCACTTCACTCCCAACACTGCTGGTCACCACATGTGGGGTTCCCCCCACACCAAGCGATACTGTGTGACACCAGCTGTTTGTCTACAATTTAACTCACTGCTTGGAGATAGCATCAGATAGCACAGGTTGAGGACTCAGTCGCCTAAAAGGGACCCCAACTTTAGATGTCTCCCAATTATAAGTACTAGGTCTGCATGTTACCCATTTGTGACTTGGCTGCAGGTCAGAGGTTACAGTGGCCTCCTTCCCCTTGGATTTGATTGTTTGCTAAAACGGCTCACAGAATTCAAGGAAATAGTTAACATGTACCAGGATAGGATCAAGGACACAGATGAACAGATGAAGAGATTCATAGGATGAGGCCTGGGAGGGTCCCCGGGGCAAGAGCTTCTGTCCCTGTGGAATTGGAGTATGTGGATGTGTTCACCAACCTGAAAGCTCTCGGAACCCCATACTTGGAGGAGTTTTTGGAGACTTCATCACGTAGGCATGATCCGTCATTACTCCATGTCCAGCCCCTCTTCTCTCTCTGGACAGTAGGAGGTGGCAACTAAAATTTTCAGCCAAGTTTCTAATCATAGTTTGGTCTTTGCAAACTGTGGGCTTTCCAGCCCCTATCTGGTTGCCCACTGAGCGTCACCTAATTAGAATAAAGGACTGTTATCACCCTGGAAATTCCAAGCATTTTAGGAACTATGTCAAGAGCTAGGATCAAAGGCCAAATATTAGAATAAGAGCTGCTCCTGGTGCTCATCATTTAGGAAATAATAAGGGTTTTAGGAGTTCTGTGCCCGGGTCTGGGGACAGAGACCAGAAAATTGCATGTGTATGTCTATTACTTCACAGCAGACCTTGCCTTGGTAAACACCAAGGTGGATTTTCTTGGGGAAACTTAAGTTAGTGAACTAGAAATTCATTGGTCAAGTCTTTTCATTCCTATTTATCAAATAAGAATAAGTTCACACATAACAGCAAATATATAAAAGGTAGAATAGCTTCAGAACAGAACACTTGATGAGCTTCACTGTCTGCATTCTGGAGTCGCTGACAACCTGGCATGTGAGATTGGTTCGCTCTCAACTTTCGGGTTCGGAGGGATCACTGACGCTGAACTCCTGGCTCTAGCTGAAGCGTTCTTCTCTGAGGAGAGCAGTGCTCTAATGGGCTGGTCCTCAGGCTGATGGCATCCCCCTCGTTGCTGGGAACTTGTTAGAAATGCAGATCCTTGAGTCCTGTCCCAGACTCGCTGAATTGGAAACTTTGTGTGTGAACCCAGCAATCTGGTTTTACCAAGCCATTCAGGTGAGTCTGACATGCCCTAAATTTGAGAACCACAGGGTAGGGTTGGAAGATCCAATGTAGGGGAAGCCTGTGAATCAGGTAGTGTTTCCCTTCTGTCGAGGCTAAAATGATCTAAACCAATTGCCAGCTTCCCTACCACTAGAGACTGTTAAATTGATTTGGGAGAGCATTGAAGATCTAAAGGTTCTTTATTAGATGTCAGATTTTGGCATTAGGGATGTCAGCATTCCACTGATTAATGGTGGCTATAAAGTCAAAGTATTGGGGGCACATGAATACTAAAATTTCCTCAGTCCCCAAACACCTTTAAAGATAATAAGTACTTTGACAACAGAAGCCTGTTGATATCTAAGCCTCCATTGATTGGTTGTTTTTCATTGATAGATCCTAAGGGTTAAACTTTTGCCAAATTGTTTGCTTATAAAGAAAACCTTTTATTTTCTTCAAACCTCTTTCCTCATAGGCGGTTTGGGATAATGGGACTCTACAAAGGCCTGGAAGCTAAACTGCTGCAGACAGTGCTCACGGCTGCTCTCATGTTCCTTGTTTATGAGAAACTGACGGCTGCCACCTTCACAGTCATGGGGCTGAAGAATGCACACAGGCACTGAGGCGTGCCCGAGGGGGCTTCCTCCTGCTTGAGGAGAAGTGGTTCTTTCACCCTTGCTCCTTCCATCTCGAACTTTACCCTCATTGGCTTGAAAAGGCTTCGAAGGGTAAACACGGAAGACAGCCAGCTGGACCTGTCGCCAACTTCATTTTATGCTGGTTGGTTATATATTGTGGGGGAGGTTGGACTAAAGGTCATATGAAAAGAACACATTGAAAATCTAAAACTGCAAGTCTGCAGGGGAATGAGCTCTCGCTGTCATGTATAATCGCTCCAGTTAAAGTCCTCTTCAATTTACAGGCTGTTCTCTTTCCCTGAACCCACACCCGGGTTTTAGGACGAATTGAATACCATGTAATTCTGCTTAGACACTTTTGTATGTCTCAGTCTTGGCATTTTCCTCACTAAAGATATTGTGACTTTGCCATGGGTATGACTTTATTTTCATTGGGCTTTTTCTCTTAAGTAAAGGTGTCTTCTTTAGTATATGAACTATTTATTTTGTGGGGAAAATGAAAATTATTTATCTCAAATGATTTTCTTATAAACTATTGATGCACATCACTTATACATTAGTATTTGACATAATTTTAAAATATTTGTTTTGAATCAACCCTTTCATTTTAAAACTTGAGACTTTATGTTCATCCATCCAAGTTCCAATAAACTGTCAACACAAACACATTCTTAAAAGTTGCCCTTCATTAAGCTGTTACCTTGGATTTACAGCCAGCTGGTAAAAATCCCAGGAAAGGGAGAAGACACAAATACCTTGTTTAGGCTCTAAGATATCATCTTGGTAGGGGCTGTGTGTTTTGAGAATAAATATCTGGTTGAGAATATTTCTACTTGGAAACATGCCTTATGTCCTGCTACTCAAAGTGTGGCACATTGATGTCACCTGGGAGCTTGTTGGACGTGCATCTTGACAAGACCCTGAGGTGACCCACACTCATGTTAAAGTTCGAGAAGACCTGGGCCTCCCCGGTGGTGCAGCGGTTGAGCTCTGGGCTGCGAAGCTGCCCACAGCCTCTGCAGGGCCGGTTCAATCCCCGGCCACCGGCGAGGGTCCCACATGGCACGCAGACCTCTCCTGCCGCACTCACAGCTCCCCTTAGCAGTATACTTTGTCAGTCTGCCTGTTCTGTTCCCCGCTCTGGTTCTGGTGAATTCTCTCACCCTCCTGCGCTTCTGACTGTACCCAGTGCTTGTATAAATAAAATAAATAAATCTTTTAAAAAAAAAAAAAAGTTCGAGAAGACCTTAGATGCCCTGACCCAATAGGAGATGCGATGGGCTTCAATTACAGAAATTAACCAGTCCAGAGATTTTCCTTAAAGAAAAGACAGAACAAAGCCTTCTGAAAACCTAGGATTCTTCTAGGTTCTAGACTTCCCCCTCAGCACATATTAAGGGGATAGGTCTTTCCTTGTGTAGGTAGGTGTGAATCCATACACTCAAGCCACTCAAGAAGCAAAATTCTCTCAATATTAGAACAGCTCCTTGGCTTCCTATGATTCAGTTTTTGTCCCTATATCAAAATGACAGGTTTTTCATTTATAATACTGATTCAGTCAGTGTCGGGGGATGTAGTTAAATGTCAGCAGACTTCAGCATTTAGTTCAATTTTAAGAGTGGAAGTGTTTTTCTCTTATTTTCCCTTTGGTCCCTGTGGTATTTTCAAAATAAGTGATTATAAAACTAATAATCATTGAAAGGTTGTTGTGTTGTTCTTGGAAACAAGAATTTGGAAGAGCTAATAATGTGGGGACTAGCCTGAACGCTTGTCCCTATTTAAGCCAGAAAATTGGCCCTATTCCTACTTCTTATTTTCTTTAAAAATAAGAAGGTGGGGGCCTCCCCGGTGGCGCAGTGGTTGAGCGCTGGGCTGCGAAGCTGCCAGCAGCCTCTGCAGCACCGGTTCGATCCCCAGCTGCTTCCCGGCCACCGGAGGAGGCTCCCACATGGCGCGCAGACCTCTCCTGCCGCCCGCTGCTCCCCTCAGCAGTGCGCTTCGGTTCTTCTGCCTGCTCTGCTCCCCGCTCTGGCTCTGGTGAATTCTCTCACCCTCCCGCACTTCTGACTGTACCCAGTGCTTGTATAAATAAATAAAAATAAATCTTTAAAAAAAAAAATAAGGTGGGGGAGGGGATTTAAGTGGGAAGCATACAAAACATTTTGATTACTGTACAGAGGGTCATAATGGTGCCCTATGTACTTTTGTTACCATTTTTATTATGCTGTTTACTTGAGAACTTGAATTTTGAGCTCAGGGTATTTGTGGGTTAGTATGTTAGAATAACTTCCAGGTCAAATTATATAGCTTTTTTAGGTATTTATGATGTGAAATGAAAATGTACTTGATGCTTCTTTATTTCTGACTTTATGAGAGAACAGTTTAATACTGAGGTTTTGTGTTCCCTATGGAAGCTTATAGAGTCATGCTTGAAACTAGGTAATGACTCATTCAGTTTTGTAATCCTTGATTAATAATAAGTTATTTGAGAAAACTAAAGTGCTAAAGTCTATGCTATGGAAATGGAAATTTTTTCTTTTTGATTCTTCCTGCAGTTTTTCTAGAAAGTGAGGATTAAGAGCCTTAGAGATTATAATCGTGTCTCTGCAATAGAAAATTTAATTTCTGTAAGTATTTAATCTATGTTTTGAAGTGGACACTAATATCCTATTCTTGTCTGTTTTACAATTAAGTTTGAAATGCAGGAAAAGGATTTACCATAAGAACATAAGCAATGGGAGTTAGAATCTTGGGTTTTATTCCCAGCCCTGCCACTGACTAGCACATTACGTCATCCCCTTGTGCTTCAGCTTTTTGATAAGTGGAGATAATAATACTCACTACCCACTTCAGAGGATGTTTGAGGGCTAATGATGTCAGTTAAATCCCTTTATGATTGTGGGAGAGGGACTGTCAGAGTGAAGCTTATGACAGTGCCTAGATTTATATAGCAATTTGCTTTAAAGCTTACATACTTTCTCAGTTTATAATTCCAGTATCTCCATGAAATAGGGAAGGACAAACACTGTCTCCCCACTTAATTAACAAGGAAATTGAGACAGAACTATCAAATGACTTGCCTGGTTGGAACCAGGACTAGAATTAAGTTTCCTGAAGTCTAGTGTAATGATGAAGAGACTGTTCTGGAATTAGACCAAACTAGGTTCGTCTCTGGCCCTACTCTGTACCAGCTGTGAACACAGCAATTACTGGACTGGTATAAAACTCAGTATCCTAAATAAATAAGTAACAGCAACTCAGTTTCCTGTGAAATAAAGATCTTGATAAACTTGCATAGCACGATTGTGTGGGCTAAATGACACCATCCATGTATATCAGTCGCTTAGCACGGTTCTTGCCACATGAGAAATTTTATCTTGGCCATGACTATTACTATAATATGATTACTGATCAAGTATATGACTGTTAATGTAACTGATTGTGACCCTGCCAGGTTTTGCCACTGCAGAAATGAAAGGGCCCTGGGTTAGTACTGATATTGGTGGGCAGAGCGGCTGAAAGCTGTGTTCAGGGAAACTTAATGGACAAAATAAAACTTTTCTGTGGGTTGGCTAAACGAAAAAAAGAAAGAAAATTGCTATTCAAAGAGAGAGCACGGAAAGGAAATTAAGAGATGAATATGAAGATCAAGGGAGGGACAGACAAGGCACCAATGCCACGTATGGCCCTCAAGGCACCCTCACAGGATGTGACCAGTGCCCAGATGGGCAGAGAACTGGAATCCAGTCAGTGAGGTCCAGTCTGTAGTGACATGAAAAGAGAAGGAAAACTGGGCTCGCATCGGGTCATGAAAATGGATAATAAAAGCTCTCTGCATCGGTGCCTACTAAATGATTGGCGTACATCTTGATATCCTTGTAATAACTCGAAATACATAGTTCATTCCCGTTCACAGATGGGTTAGCTGAGGTTAAAGGCGGAATCTAACTATGAGCACGCATTTAATGAATGGGGGTCAAGACTTAAAATGTAGGTCAACTATGCGTCCCACAGATGACCTTAAAAGTAAACCTTCCAAAGGCAGGCTTGGGGTGGGTCATTCCATGCATCGTCTCCTTTTACAAGCTAGAGGGATTTAAGATTGAGGATGCATAATTCTTTGTATGAATAACTATCTGCACCTCCGTTGTCACTCCACAAGACTCAAAGGAAGTCTGTGGCCCCTGTTTCCAAGGATGGCTCTCTGAATCCATGCTGCCTGGCCCCAGTGCCTTTGTTCCTGCTTTCTGGTACAGCAGGAATCTCTTCATATTGTTAGGGGTGATTTTCTGCCCAAATCAAGTATCAGCTGTTCTGGATCCCTCTGGAAATTTGTTGTCCGCTACCCGTGTACCCCAGAGACCTTTGTACTCCTAACATTTTGGGCATGTGTCCATCATCACGTCTGCTACGTTTATTTAAATTATGTGTTGAATTGCAGTGGTCTGTACCTCAGTCTTCCCCTAGAGAACAGGCTCTTTCAGTGCAGGACATTAGTCTTTCAGGTAGCAGCGCAGCTCGCAGTGGTCACCCACTTGTTACATGAGTGTTTTTGGCTAAAGACAGTGCTGACCCCTGTGCAATCAAATTGATGTGATTGCTGTGAACTTACATGTTTTTTAAATTCCTGCACTCTGCTGATTTCTTGGTTATTGATTATCAGTTTTTCAGATTTTTTGGATTTATTAGTTCACTTTTTTTGGAAGTGTACTGCTAGTTAATTGTCTTTTATTAACCTCTAAGGAAATTTATTATTTCTTTGCTCTAATTGGAGTCACCAGTATTATCCACCTGAGTGGTATCGTTTCTATAGTTCTTTCGTGTACTTCATTCTTTTTTTTTCTTAAAGATTTATTTATTTATTTATACAAGCACTGGGTACAGTCAGAAGTGCGGGAGGGTGAGAGAATTCACCAGAGCCAGAGCGGGGAGCAGAGCAGGCAGAAGGACCAAAGTACACTGCTGAGGGGAGCAGCGGGCGGCAGGAGAGGTCTGCGCGCGCCGTGTGGGACCCTCGCCCAGCGGCTGGGGATTGAGCCGGCACTGCAGAAGCTGCGGGTAGCTTCGCAACCCAGCGCTCAACCGCTGCGCCACCAGGGAGCACCCCCGCCCCCCCCCCACCCCGTACTTCATTCTTGTTTTGCTTTAGTTTCTGTAGAACTCACTGGTTGAATGAGTGGCCAGCCAACTAAGTGACTCTTTATGTGGGACCTTATAAATGCAAATTCTTGTTCTGAGAACAGCCTTTATTCAGGAAATCATTTTGATTACCTACTATATCTGAGCACCTTGCCAGCTGCAGGTATTATGCCGAGGAATAATACTCAGTCTCTGCCTTTATGTTCAATATGAGGGTCAGACAACAAAACGTGAAGGTCTACTGCTGACAGCTCTGAGGAGGGTGGTAATATGCATGTTCAGGAGCTGCTTTGGAAGCATGGAGAGGCCAGGTCTTCCTTGAACTGCTGTCTGTGGTCAGATGGCAATATTGGAATTAGGAGCACACCAAGTATTACAGGGCAACCCCAATATAAAACAGGTTGCCTGACTGTGGGTTCTCACCCATGTGCGTAAAGGGGACTTAAACTGCAGGCACACACAAAAGATTAACAAAAGGTTTATTTACAAGGGAGAGGGAAATGAGGACATGTATAACTCAGGGAGAAAAGAGGAAGATAAATTCTTTTTTTAAAAAAAATATACGAGAGCTGGGGTACAGGCCAGATGTGCGGGAGGGTGAGAGGATTCACCGGAGACAGAGCAGGGAACAGAACAGGCAGACTGATGAAATACTCTGCTGAGGGGAGCAGCGGATGAGACAGGAGAGGTCTGCCATGTTATGTGGAAATCTCCTTGGCCGGCCGGGAATCAAACCCACGCTGCAGAGGCTGTGGACAGCTTCACAGCATGGCGCTCAACCCGCTGCGCCACTGGGGAGACCCTATTTTATTTATTTTTGCATACAACAACTGGGGTTAACTCATACCATTCAT